TGGGAAACAAAGGGGAGAGAACGCCATGACAAGGTGGCTCCAGAAAGGGTGCAAACTAGAGCTGCTTTTGAAACAAGATAGCACTTTTTGCAAACACTTTCTCCTCCCACGAAAATCACCCGCTTTTCATTATCAGGACTTATATGTCCTGGTAATGCCTCCCAGTGCCAGCCTTCTAAAATCCTAGCCTTCCTGCTTAGTAAAATATCCACGGTGGCACTGGCGGAGGAAGAGGCGTGCAGAGGGAACGCACCGCCCCCAGCAGCGTGATCCCAGTGGGGTGCCATTGTGGCTACCCCCCTGCCCGCACTGGGCACCACGCCCCTACGGGTGGTGTACCTCACCCCCAGGACACACGCAACGCTCCCGGGACGCACGTCACGCCCCTGGGACACACTCCAGCCCCAACCCGCCTGCTCTCCGCGCCCGGTGCCGGAGCATGAAGCTCCACCACTGCACGCTGGTTCACAAGACACCGCTTGGTCAGATTGTTAAGTCACGCCTGCGCATGAAGGCTACAGAACAGCAGTGAGGAACCTTTTTCAGACTGAGAGCTGGCACTCCATTGTGGGAACTTTCAAAGGGCTGTATGTCAGGGAAGGTTAGAGCCAGAGGCAAATTGGGGCAGGGGGTGGGTGGGCGGGCAGTAACTCTGCCGCATTCCTTGTTTGCAACAGGCCATGCAGAAGTCAAGACACCCGCCTATGCATCTCTCCATCCAGGAACAGCTAGAGAGGCACTGTCACAGTTGAATGACACATTCCACCTGGGGGAAAACACTTGGTCGGGGGAAGGTACACAGTAGGTCTGAGAGGAAGGGGTAAGTACAGCTGGGGAGGGAGTTATCTCCCAGTCTACCCAGAGAGGCAAGTGTCACTAGCAGCCTAATCCCAAAGCACACTGCACTGCTGTACGAATTGGGGCCTGCAAACAAACTATACCAATGCAATACAATGCAAGCACATAGCATAATGCTTTGCTGGCACTGCAGCCGCATCATTCATAGCAAAAGGGGTGCTTGGAAATTTTTCATGCCATTTTTCAATTACTTTCTGGCAGCCCCATTTGTTTTGTTTTCTGGTCTATTATTGCCTCATATGTTTCATTTCCCCCCGTTAGCCTCATTATTCTTATTTTAAACAATCTCATTCATTTAGTTTCTACATTTATTGCAATGAAGACCCAGCCTGTATTCTGATGCCTGCACTTTTGGAGTTTTCCACCCAAATGACACGACTTGTGCCAATGTTGCACGATGCCCCTAAGCCCTCAGACATGCCAAGTTTCAGATATATTGGGGAAAGGGTCCCTGTGTAATACACAATTAAATAGGTTTCCCATTCTCTAAGCATCCCAGTGTTTAGTGCTTCAGGCAGAGCAGTATTCATGCCTTCACACTTTCAGAACACCCCAAGATTCTCCCTCCCTAAAAAAAGTTCCCTAGATGTAACTATATATAAATGCAATACAAAGCAATGTTGTGCCCCTTTGTCAGTTTCAGAAATCCCCCCCCTTAATAAACAAATGGGAGAAATTAAACCAAAGGATTTTATTTCACATAGAAATAGATTAAAAATGAATGAATGTGCCCTTGTTTCATTTTTCATTTGTTTTTGAAACAAATGCATACCCCTAGCAATTCATTATTTTAAACTGCTGTACTAATATAGTAAACATGAATGTCGAATATGCTGCAAGGTATAATCTGGGATTGCAGAAAATTTGATGATGGCTTTGCCTTCTTTCATAAATCTTTCTAAAGGTCATTTCACACATGTATATTGATTGAGTGCACAATGAAGAAATAGCCCGCATGTGTGTGAATGACCCAGCAGAAGATGAGTCACCACAGATACAACTTTCACATCACCAAGTATCAGCTCAGACAGTGCTTTTCAGCAGAGACAGCTAAAACACTGAGTGGAGATTTATGAGATATGGATTAACCAAGTGATAAGAGAGAGGGAAAGAGAAATTTATATGTGTACACTGGACTATTTTGGGGGGTTAAAGAATTGCAGCAGAAAGTTTTCAACCAAGGATAATAGTATAATAACAACACAATCCTATGCATGTTTACTCAGCAATAAGTTCCACTATGTTCAATGGGGCTTACTTCCATGGAAGTGTGAATTGGACTGCAGTGCAAGAAAGTAAAAATGTACTCAAGCCCACCAAATAAATATTGAGAATTTGAGAACCAGTTCTTAAACTGTGTTGGGCAGTGCTGGTTGATTTAAATAAAAAATAAGAAAAGCCGCCACGTACCATGCATCCATTTTTCATGCAGTACTATATACTGCCTGATATTGCAGTGTCATGAACAGAGCAAATTTTCAATTCCCATTTTTCCTTCCATTCACAGCAATAATTTGCATGCAATATAAATTATCAATATTACTCCAAATCGCACATCTCAGTGCTCTCACATCAAAGGAATGAATGTAAGCAAGAGAGCAAAATGTCAGAAAAATAACCCAGTCAAACTGAAAATGATGTGGTTGGACTATTTTAGCTGGATCACGGCTCATATCCTCATTTGACATGAAATGGGAGCAATTCTCCATGTAGCTCTTAACCTGACATTTCCTGTAAATATGGGTTTCGGATAATTAGTCTAACTAGACATCAAGGCATAATCCTTTTCTTCTTTGCTTTCCTCAGAGAAAATTCATTAAGCTTTCACAAGGCCTGTTGCATATGACATACTGTCAATAGGCAAATATTACAGAATTGAATATTATATTGTCAGTAGATGAACATTCAGGCACAATCCCCGTTAAGCTTGAACGGGGATACAAATATGTCTAAAGCCTTCTTGGTTTTTGCTTTGGTTTTTTTAACTACACATGAAGCAGAAAACGTGACAATTTAAACGTGTCTTGTGATTTGGAAGGTCATCTTTAAGACAGGGGTTGGCGATGTGATACCATGGGTGCATTGGAACTGGCCCTGGCACCAACATACCTCTGAGAACACAAACACACACCATTACTCACTCCCTCGCCCCCAGTCATGATGTGGTGGGGGCATTTACCTTTTTCCTTCCTGGAAAAAGGATATAGAGTTGAAGGAGGAAGTTGGAAGAGTGATGTTCTTTCCCACTTCTCTTTCCAGCTCTATGTGCTTATCCCCTGCTTGGTTTAATTCTACTGGACTCAACTTTTACCAACTCTGAGAGGGGATGTCATTTGGGAGAGAAAAGAGTGAACAGGGATGGAGAACTGTCCATGGTACTGGCTCAAAAATCCAAAATGTGCCCACGTGCCTAAAAATTGGCAGCCCAGTTGCAACTCTCTAGATGCAATTAGTTTTCTACCCTTTTACCATTCCATAACAGGTCCTACAACGACGACATTTAAATCTCAAGAACGCTATCATTACTTTTCATGTATTCTACGCCTACCATAACACAGACTCAATAGGCTATAGGGCTACTTTTTTTAACTGTGTCACTGACATTTCAAGACGCTAAAATAAAACAACAATTTCAAAAGCCACATAATAGCCGCTATTTTGGGGGGGGGGGTTGGGGGGCAGAGTTGTCTAGAATTCACTGTACAGCAGCATCAAGATAATGAAGGGAAATGAAAGAATAAACCTACCCACAATTATAACAGAATGAAAAAGGTTTTATTGGTGGTTTATAACACATTCAGTGAAATTTAGTGTGTGGTGTTCTTATGGGGGTGGACATTCCATGCTCATCCTGCTCTTAATCCAGTGCAATTAATTTGCTAAAACAATTTTCCTCCAGGAAAAAAGAATAATTAGGCATATTGTACACCTTGGCATTTTAACCTAAAGATAAGCATGTTGATTTCAACAAGAGGGGAAAAAATCAAGCCTGTGTTTCATTTTTCTCTTTGAAATCAGTAGCGACAAAATGGGCTTCACTATGCCTAGGAATCCACTTTGTTTTTTTCAATTACAGTACACTAACTCAATTTCAAACTTACCCAAATGATATCATACAAGGGAAACCTGGTTTGATTCACTCTCTCATCACAGGTAAACAAAACAAGGATAAAAGGCAAGCATTTCCCCACTCTTCTGCCGATTCTCCTATCTCTTTCCCCCGTTTTATTATAAAGGGCGTTGGTAAAAATGAAGCTAACAACTTAGGAAGGAAATCTCACCGGCTTCTGTAGCAGAAAACCAGTTGCACTCGGACTTACACATCACTGTAGTTGGGCCTGGAGCAATATTGTCCATTCGGTCACTATCTGGTGGTATCATCCTCGTAGCTGCCTTTGACAGTTTTACATTTTGCCAGGCATTGAGAAGAGAATACATACCTCAGAAGGTGACTCGACTTCAGCTCCCCTTCTCCAGCACCTGTCTCCGATCCTTCTTCCATGCTGCTCCCTTAATCCTGGAAGAGCTGCCCACCAACACTTCCAGCAATCTCCTTTAACCAATAGGGCCCCCCACCCCACCCAATTTCTCCTCTGAATCTCTCCATCTCTCCACACAATGCATTTCTTCTGCAGAGTCTTTCTAAGACCATGTAACAGATTTTGCTCTTCAGAGCGGTGAGCTACAACAAGTTAACCCTTGCCTAAAATCCTGCCGGTTTCCTCACTCTTTCCACCCCACGCATGACGCTAAGATCATAAAGCGATTGGGAAAGGAATGTGCCACCTATTATGGTCTATACACTGTCTGGTATAATGGTGGTGCTACTAAGCATCAGGTACGGACAACAATGACTTTATTTATATGCAATTACTTTAGATCTCCTCTTAAAAATAAGAGCAACGATTTTCAGCTTAGCGGTCGATTTTTGAGCCGGAGGGTCCATCTGGCTATCTTTCCTACTTGCAACCCCTTACCTTGAGTCTGATGCAGTGTTTCACAGTACACAAACATACCTACCTCCCATCACCACAGTGCACCAACACTAAATGCATATGTTTGCATCACTCAGACATACATTGAAAGTATATATAGATGACATTCAAACAAAACTTTAAAGAAGGAAGGAAGTCATGTAATACCTTTACTTTTACCTATGGATTTGATGAAATGGTTCCATGAAGAAAGCATTTGCCAGACAAAAAGAGAGAGAACAAAGAAGAGAAACAGCAGTAAGAGTCATGTGTGTGTAAATGTAAATGCTGTCACAATTCAAGAACATGAAAAGAGACAAGGCATGAAACAAGTGTTTGAAGACAAATGGAAATGCAATTGGTGTCGCATTTTAAGAATGGCTGCTTTGCAACCTTCATGTCCATGCAGGAGAACACAGAAGTAACCCATGCTTCATTTTCAAACGAGTGACACAGAAGTAACATGAACACTGACTTTAAAGGGAGCGGGGGTTTGTACACGGTGATGGGGAAACACCACTTATTTCATCATGTTGCAAAACTGTATTCTGAGCATTCCAGAAGCCAGGAGCGAGTGCTTTCCGCATTTTCAAAACAGTCATGCATTAATGCAAAGCAGGACTCTCTTGCTAGGTACAAACTCAAGACTCTTCTCTTTCGCAATCTATCTTGGGAGTATGGCTCCCTTTGCTCTTTGTCGTGCTTAAAACACACAGCCATTTCCCAATCAGATCTTCACTCTTTTTTATTTTTTTTGCTGGCAGTTATTATATTGCAAGTAGGGTAAGGGAGACCGTTGGAAAAAAGAGAGAGAAGGAAATCAAAAGATTTGAGGAGCAAATTAAAAATAAAATCAAAACCAAAAGCAGTTTCTACGTAGCACTATCCATATTATGTATATAAATATATATATATATACACACGACAACAACAAAAAGAAAAATAATAATGTGACTGCAATCATGTGCTTATTTGCAGCCCAAGAAAGCTCGCAAGCATTTGGCCATCATTTGCCTTGATGGATTTTGAAGCAGCTACAGAAGAAAAAAGGAAATAAACCAAAATGAAATAAAGGAACAATGAAAGCAGAGTGGAAAAGGAGCAGAACCCATACCTTGGTCGCCCATCATCAAGTGCGCCAGACCTTAAAGGGAAACAAGAGCATAGTCAGCAATGAATAAGGGTGCACGGGAAGGTGGTATTGTCACAGTGACCCCCAAAAAATGTTTTTTGCAACAGGCATCTGTTTCCTGTGAGATGTTTTCCATTACAGTGGAAAATTAAAACAGCATTTTTCAACCACTGGTTGGAATGCTTTTTGTGGGGTTGGGAATGGGGCAAAGGGGCCATTTGGCTTCTATTCTAACACAGATTAATGCTGCCCTGTACAGCTTCTTCCCTAGGCATTAAAGTTGGGCTGAAGACAAAAAAATAAGAAGAAAATCATTTCAAGTTCAACAAATTCCTGGAACACTCAGTCTCCCAATTTCATCGTTTTCAGTAGGACGACATTTAGCTGCAAAATAGCTTTCCTTTTTTCCCCCCCTCCCGAATTTCCAAACGTAGAACAGTGTCAACCTGAAGAATGGGCTGGGTCTGATCTTTTTCCCCTCGTTGAAAATGAGCATTTCAAATAATCAAACAAAATAATTCCTTTGTCACATTGAAATGATAATGCAAGGGATGTCTCCTTGTTTGTGTGAAACATTTGAGTAGAATAAGGTCTGTTCCTGAGCAGGAAAATTGTTAGTCATCCATTGGGATGGAAGCAAATATCAGCATTAATTGTAACTGGGGAGAAAATCCCTTTGGTTCGGCACCAAGTAGTTTCTCCAAATTAAAATATGCTGTGCTTAAAGTACATTGATGCTGAAATCAGTTTCCCAATTAACTCTCCCGCCCCCCTGCCGATTGTGGAGAACTGAAGTTTTAATTGGGCTAAGCAAAGCAAGTTCTCCGAATCCATTTTTTAAAAAATGAGCTAAAGCAATAGCAAAAGAATTGGTATATTTTTCCCCTCATAAGCAAATTTGGCATATCACATCTTGTATCCCCTTAAACAAAAGTTTAGCTCTTATGCCACTTTATAAATAGATGCTTAGCAAATTGGTTTAGGGGGGAAATCCAAACAGTAGTCATTTAGATGCCTCCCCCAAGCTATAAAATTGTGCTTCTCTCCCTCTGGAACAATTTCATGGTACATCCCACATTATTTTTTGGGTTGGTTCACACAAAGAAGGTGTGCAATAGAATAATATGCTGGTTTTTGCTGGAAGGTAAGATTCCTAAGTTTGAGATTTTTAATTCACATAAAAAATTAGGCGCACACATAAGACATATAACAAGTGATCTGGAGGAAGGAAATATTTCAAAAGCAGAGAGCCCCACACCCCAAACACACCACTTCATATAATCAATCAGTTGACGAAAAAAGGTTTTAAACAATGTAATAAGTTTTTCATTGAACACAGTATGTCTTCTAAATTGACAATTAATCTGTATTAAGTATCTGGACACATGAAGAATCTTATTTTGGCTTCTGTTGCAGTAAACCATGTTTTGTTTTGTTTTTTTACGTTTTTTAAATTTTGATCCTGTAGCATAAACTCAATGAGAGCCTCAAAAAAATTGCACGATTTTAGAGAAGACAAGATGGGAGTCCACCAGTCTATGTCAACTCTGCAATAAGTGTCAGTGTACTAAGTGAAGGAAGTTTGTAATGATTTCAGTCTTGTAGTTAGAGTGTAAGCTTGTTTACTCAGAAGTAAGTCCCACTTAGCTCCCACTGGGGCTTCATCCCAACTAACAGCGTTTAGGACTGCAGCTTTTGTCGAGCTGTAACTTTGGCTCATGAGTGTAGTGCTTTCCAATTCCTTTCCTTTTTGGATTTATAACTGTCTTTAGGATTGGAAATTGGATGTACCAGGTTCTCTGTGACTGAAGATTCTCCTCTACTGGAAGAAAAATCACTAAGCAATTTGTGCTTTTTGAATGAATATAACATATAACTGTATCACATCTTCCAAAAGACGTGGGCTCCTGAATTAGAAAGAGCATGTTCCATGAAACCGTGTCAATCAAAATCATTTCATGTTCCATGAGAAATATGCTCAAGGTTTTATGTCTACTAGTACCTTAATTTTCTCTTTTTCATTTATTTATTGCTTGTGAGATTGATTGGGGGGGCGGGTTCTGGGGTCATAAGAGGGCTGGTACTGGAAGAAGGAACTGAAAAACTACTGTACACAAGTAAAACACAATATGAAGCTCCATCTGGGTCCTGGGTTTCTTTAGAGCACAAGGAAAATTGTATTTTGCAATACGATAAATCACCGTGAAAATGAGCCTTTAAGGCAAGTTAGTTTTTGTTGTTGTTTTAAAAAAATGTGGGCAAGGGCTGAAATAAGTATCGGTGTCTTGGATACAATGGTTACGTTGGGACAGAAAACAAAACAAGTAAACCCCAAAACCCTGAGCATCTCCTATGTGCATAAAGTTGCAGGAACAAGAGTGAGACCATCAATGCTCTTTCCAATAGCTCAGGGATGGGCAACCTATGGACTTCCAGATGCTGTTGGACTACAACACCCATCATCCCTGGCCATTGGTTATGCTGGCTGCAGGTGATGGGAGTTGGAGTCCAGCAATGTCAGGAGGGCCATGGGTTCCTAATCCCTGTTTGCACACACATTAGTGCCTGCACATTCATACCACTAGTGAATGCCTGGAATTCTCTGCGGAGCCAAGGTGCATACAATCCCAGCTCATTTTATTCTGACATATACATACTGAAATATGTAGAATAAAGGAAGCTCCCATTGGTCCCTCTACCTTAGTACTGGCTTCAGGGACCGGAAGTGGCTCTCTGGGGTTTTAGGCAAGAATCTATCCCAGTCCTAACTAGAGGTGCAGAAGAAGTGCTTGCAAAGGATGGCCAGTTGTGTGGGTTTCCCAGAACATTTTGACTTGCATATCATATTTTGCAAATTTTCACCTTGCATTGCGAAATGTTCTGATGCCCTACATCAAGTGCCAGGAACCTCTGGCCCTCTAGATGTTGTTAAATTAAGACTCCCACTGGCCATGCTTGCTGGGACTAATTGGAGGTTCTCCATACGTGTCTTACAAGAGTGGTCTTTATTTTACCTGCATTTAGCAAAAGTTTTGAAATAGCCAAGCTTGCCCAGTATTTATTTGCAATTGGCACCCATTCATTGTTACTGGTGAACTTATGACATGGAAAATGTTTTTATTTTTCTTTCCTTTTTAGGAAATCTGTTTAAGAACAGATTGTTTGTAAAGCAAAAAGCAAGCAAACAAGAAACTCTAGATAGATGTTTGATTAAATATTACTATGCACTACAATTAGAAACTAGACACCTTGTGTCCACATTGGAGCCCTACCCTAAAGAATTATATTTGCAAAACAGCTAGATTGGTTCAAGGTACCTTAGTACTTAAAATGATTCATTTAACATTAGAAATGATGCACCATGACTTCTTCTACGGCTGAGCATCATGCCAAAAAAGGAATCGTGTAAATGAGTCCTAAGAGATTTAGAATATATAGATATATGTACACGCTACAAGCAGATTTTTTGCATATTCAACTTCAACTACTACCCTTCGGCATATGCTAGTTTGCAAAGATGGGCCAATGATATCTTATGCCTGTCTTTTTATTTTATTTCCCCCCCTAAGGTCAATTTGGTTAAGGAAATTCTTGCTTAACAGAGAAAATCCTTATCTGCTCTTAATTAAAGTGGTTCCACAGAGTGCTGTGAAGATGCGGTGATGTAGGCTGGCTGAATATCTGACTCACAGTGCACTTTCATGTCAGCTGCACTGGACTCTCAGAAGCTATTCCCTTTCATTAAATCCTCGGCTCGGTTGTTTGAACTTGCCGTGTGTTCCTTTGGAATAGTCTTAAATAATAATAGTAATGATAATAATAATAATGATACCTCTGGATGGGAATGATTCTGCCTGAAAACAAGTCCACGGAAAAACCTGAAGGACCACCACTTGTGAACCACCAAGAACACCCCAGCTCACCTGGCATGCCTAGTGGCCCAGGCAGAAGACAACCTTCTGCATTTTCTGCTAGTCCAGCACTAGACCACTATGCATGGCTGATATGCATGCAGCTTGTTTGATCCCTAACTGGGGGGCCTGGTCTAAAAGTCTCATTGGACCCCTGTAAATATCAGAGTAATCAACAATGAACATGGATGTCCTGTGCTTTGCCTAAGGTGCTGCAAACCCCCCCCACACCTACATGTGTTTTACCATGTAGACAAGACTATGTGTTAGTTTCCCACATTTGGGGTGGTTTACTTAAGGATATTAATTGTGCCCATACTCTCCTTTTGACCTTTGGTGTCTGAGATGCAAATTTTCAGGAGTCGCCATATGCTTTGTAACTCCTTTTTTCTGTAATTGTAAAGTTATTTTAAACCAGATCTTCATGCTGTATTTTAAAGTGGGTAAATGATAATAATAGTAATAATAATAATAATGAGCAAAGACCCCTTACATGAGAGGCACTTAAATCAGATGTTTGGGGGCTGCAGCATAATGCTACAAAGAGCAATGAAATAATGAACAGGTATAAGACAGAAGTGAATTCCATTTCTTCATATATATATATTTTCTGTAAACCACCAGGGTATTTTGTGTCATAAAAATGTAATTAATAAATAAGAAGCTGCTAATGGCTCACATAACTAACTAATGTGGACATTAAGTACTCTTATAGAGGATCAGAATGAATGGCAATCAGTGCCAATTAGTTTAACAAATGGCAAATGAATGGCCTGTCTTGAAGTAAGGGCAGTTTTGCCAATGATTTCAGATTTTCATCCATCATTTTATGGATCCGTCATTTCTCTCCCTCCCCTTATAGAACAGTAAAAAAAGGGGGTGGCAGCTTTTCTCTACACCAGATTGGTGGTGTTCTAAAAGACCCTGAGTCACAGTATCACAATCAACATCTGTGGCACCAGTCACGGGGGCTAGAGAATCATCTCTAGATGTCTTTTTGCTCCCACTTACTGGTGTCAAAAACTGTGACCACAATATAGCAAGCCCCTCGAGATGCATGGAAGGGCTTGCACATGCTCAGAAGGCCATTCCAAGCTTCTTCTCCCTAACAGCAGTCCCTCCATGACACAACTGCCATTGGGCTTGCCCTAAGCAGGGACCAGGTGCTTCTGGTGTGACAATGGTGATGGTAGGCAGTAGTACTTATGGCGATGATATCTGTATGTGCAACAACAATAAGACCACATTGCATGGTGCTTTTTAAAAAAACTCAGGGGAGCTTCAAAAGCAGGGTGCAGTTAGGGAACAACAGATTCAAAACTTTCTGGGCACAAAAACCCTTACACAAGGCTGCTGACTCTTCAAATGTACAAAAACAACGAGAAAGCCAGGCGATCCCATGATTAAGGTTATACAACACAAATAAACGTCCGTGTTCTTTCTCTCTTAGTGGCTAGGCCATTATTAGTGCATTAATGCTGACCAGAAAATCTCTCCTCCCCTCCCCCCACCACTGCTGAAACCAAGAGATTCTCCCAATTTCAACAGTGTATTTTAAAGGGGAGAGGGGCCAACTTACGCCACCACCATGTTGAAACTTAAAATAGTCCCAGAAGGAAAGAAGAAAACCAACTTACCGTATTGAATGATAAGGAGCACCACTATAAACACTAACCAGGAGGCAAAACACTAAACAGGAGGGATAGGAAGGGTAAGAAAAGAGCTTAGGAAAATAAGATAGAAAGCACCCACCTTCCACATAGTTGTCTTCTGAAAGCACATAACAAGGAGGGAGAGAAAAAGGGAAAGAAAAAACATTCATTAAGCAGCATGCAGACTGGAACTTGCCTTTGCATGTGAGCATCATGCAAGGCACCGGACACCACATGCAAGTGATCCATTGCTACTATCCAGAAGGAAGTGGGGCGGGGGAGACCAAAAAGCACAGGGAGGCAGTGTTTCTTCTGTTGAAAGGAAAACCCCACTCCTGCAAGTGGTACAAAAGAAAAGAAAAGTGCAATATCTCAAGTGAAAGGGGTGATTGTTGTTTGTTTGTTTGTTTGTTAAATGGATCCACTACGAGTTCCTTAGGTTAGTCAATGATTTCAAAGGGTGCTCTGGTGTCCAATGGTTAATTTCTAAAATGAGAAATGAAAAAAGTGCCTGGGATTCAAGTCTGCCTCTGGATTAGAAACCCTTTCCCTCTTAATCCCAGATAAAGTGGGGCAGAGAGGCTGGTTGAGACCACTCAGTGGCCAAGGAAAAGCTGTCTATAAAAGGCCAGAGCCAGGTTTACTTCTACTTCACACATTGCAGGGGAAAGCTCTGGCATTGAAAAAGATACACTTGACTGCCTGCTCCTGTGCCTTTTAGAAGAGCTGGGTGCACAGACGTATGGTTGCAGCAGGTGATGGATTTTGCTCTGCTTCTCTCCATGCCAAAGAAAGCTTCACTTAGCCACATGTGTGGGCCAGGTTTATGCGTATGTTAGAGACCCAGAAGAAGGGCCAGTTAAAAATAATAACAGCAAGGAAACCAAAAAAAGTGTCAACGCCTATTTTAAATCAAACTCTCTATACGTACAGCTGCACTACACACTTATTTTGGGTGTTGTACTGGTTTAATGGCTGTCACATTCCCCAGAGGGCTTTCTCTGTTAATAGATCATCTGCACAGGGCAATTGTTTCCAGTGAGTCCTGGGAAATGAGAGTTCAGCCAGTTTGCATCTCTCGTGGAGACATTCCGTGCGAGCTGCTTTCATGCTTACAGACTTTCTAAATGCGGAGCTGCCCCTAGAGCAACATCATGCAGACAGCGGTATCTTCTTCAACGGAGTGAAGCAGGTGGCACTGTGCCTCACAGGAGAAAAATGCTGCGCCAGCCGAAATCACCTCTTTTATTCACATCTGTTAAAAGTAGAGAATCCAAGGCTAGCTCCAAGTTTAAAGCGACTCTCTGCAACATGACCCGGCATGGACCTATCTCAGCAGGTTCCCGGACTTGGGTTCATCTGCCAGCGGCAGCAGTTGATATCTACAAACTACCATTTTAAAATCCCTTCCGTGCCCCTGAAGCACAGTTGCTGCAAAGCACTGCAAAGAACTTGTAGACCAGTTTGAAGGGAAAGCAAATGATCTAAGGTGTCAAGAACTGGTGCTAAGCTTCCTTCCCTCTTCTGTACTCTGGCCATTCTACACCAGCCTTCCCCAACCCGATATACTTCAAATTTCAATGAACTACAACTCCTATCACCCATCACCTTTGGCCATGCTAGCTGGGGCTGAAGGAAGTTAAGAGCCAAGCAGACACCATCCTGGCCATCCCTACTTAGATTTTTCACAATTTCCTGTGAAAGTTGCACTCCTTCCAATCCATGCTGAATGCAGCTATGAAAGGCAAAGGCTATTTGTCAAAACTACAATCTATTTAGAAGCAGTGCCTAGTTCCAGAATAATTCCACCTTGCTTGTTTAAGGTCAAACTGTATAATCCTAGTAAACAGGCTAGGGAAGTCTTAGGAGGTCAGTAGTACAAAAGAGTGACAGCAGCATAATCATGTCTACTTACTGTAATGAAACTACTTAATCCTGCATTTCACATTGACAGTGATAATTTCTCTTGAATTCACAATCAGTAAAATATCTCATTACTGCATATAATTATTGAAAATATGGGGAGGTAACTGGTCTAAACGGAGCTCTCATACAGCTTACCCATGGCTATTCTGATTGCAGTAGAACTGCACCAGGTAAAGCGATTTGAAGAGCATCAAACCGGACACTCAATCCTAACCAAACTGGCACATTCCGGAAGTGCATAATCCACGTACAGCAGAATTGTTTCTTTCCATTCAGAAGCTGTCTTCACTGAATCCACCAAAACTTAATTTTGCCAAATGGAGAACTTGGAAAACAGCATATATGCTCCAGAGGCAGTTTCCTTTATAGCTAAGCACACAAGCAAACTATGCAGTGTGTTGAATAACAGTTGGGGGAGAGGAGCGGGAAGAAGAGTAACTTTCCCATTGCTTGAAAAACTCTGGTTTTGCAGTCCCCGACAGGCAGCAAATGCAGAAGCTGGACGAAATCTCTCTAAGTGTGGTTGGTGAGCTGTGTTTGGCTTGGTGGGTCACATGTTCAGTCCTGCACTATAAACATAGGGTTTGAATTGCTGGCACACTGATCTCACCACAATCAAACGAGTATTCTGGTGCTCCACAGATTTGATGTAAGTAGGATGCAAAAATGTACACACTATTCTAGCCTATAAACTCAGTTCACACGTAACAGTAAGCCAAGCCATGGTTTAGCATGTATGTGCAAACATGTAGGATCCTAGAGAGAAGATGGCATTGGTTTTCCTTCCCAACTCATCTCCCAGCTGCTGTGCTGCTGTGAGATACGCCATGGTTTGGTTTAGAATGCTGTGACTCATGGTTTATCTTCTCCAGACAAAGCACAAGGTACAGACCAGGGAGGGGGGAAGTATGGATAAAAGTAGTGGTTTGACTAGAGTAAGACAAACCATATGCCTCGGTTTGGATTAAACGCTAAGCCAAAGAATGGCTTAGCCCACAGCTTCACAGAAGCATCAGGTCTGGAGAAGAAGCAAATCAGTTGCAATCTCCTCCATGGGAACTTGCTTGTTTACACGTTCACGGTTTGGTTTAGTGTCACCTCTGAATGGGTCACTATGTGAGATGAGAATTAAGAGCTCCAGCGTTCTGATGTAAGTGGGATGCAGGCTACCCAAATGTACACATTGTTGGCTTGTTTGTTTCATAACCTTTATATACTGCTTGATTATAAACAACAACCACCCTCAGAGTCGTTTGCAAAATGAAGAAAGCAATAGAATTATGGTTAAACAATCAAAACAACTATTGAAAACACTTAAAGAATGAAAGCCAGCAATAAATTAAAACACATACACACCAACAGCATTCTAGGTACCAGGGCAGGTTTGAACCTGTGTTTGGAAACTGGTCAGTGCCTCTGCATTAATTAGACCCTACAAAATAAAGTAGTCAACTAGCGCTTAGTGAAATGATGCTGGCCAGTAGCAGGCCATGGAAAATAGGGAATGAGACAAGCTTCAGGGCTTGGCTTGTTCAGTCAATGCCTATGTAGGAGAAAGGGAGGCAGGGGCTCTGACTCCCAGTCCTAATTAATCTACAAGAAGGCAAGAATGGAGGTACAAAGCACCTGAAACTTTCACACATATTATGTGACTTGCCTTGTAATTGCATTATTACCCTATTTATTAACCTCTGCGAGCCCCCTTGAATGCTGAGGTTAATGGAGATGTAGCTTTCTTTGTCATTACATAGTAAGGCTTGAAAGTCATAGTGAGGCTTTTTCGGTCCAGCACTCTTATTCATTTGTGCACCTCCTGAGTGGTCAAAACCCACAGTCCGTATGGGTGGGCTGTTTACTGTTATTGTTTGTTATTATGGTATGTATTTCTGTGTTTTTATATTGCAGACTGCCCTGTGATCTTCAGATGAAGAGCGCTATAGAAATTTTAACAACAACAACCGTATTTAATGACGATGTTATTATTATTTATGTAATTAGCAAGTTACCTTGGCAGATCCTTTGGTGCCAATATGCAACCAGGAGCCAATATACAACCAAGCAGCTCATTTGGTTAGAGCACAGTGGGGATAACGCCAAGGTCGCAAGTTTGATCCCCCTGTGGGACAGCTGCATAATCCTGCATCACAGAGGGTTGAACTAGATGATCCTCAGTATCCCTGTCAACTCTAATGTTCTGTGTTTCTATGAAGGTCCTGCTTGGAGTATTTAAAGACCTAACCAACCTGGAGCCATGATATTTAAAGGACTGTTTTTCTCCTCTGTGTCCTCAGATGGGGCACTGCTGAGAGTACCATGTGCCCCAGAGGTGTACAAAAAACCACAGGATTTTAGCATTGCAACTCCAGCTCCCTGGAATCAATTACCTACTGAGATCAGACAGGTGACTAGAATCATGATCTTTATGACCCTACTGCAGCCATTTTTGTTTAGGAAGGCTTTCCCTGATGTCCAAGCCAGCCATCTGTGGAATACTAATTTTATATCTGATGAAATTGTTTCTAGAGTTGGAATGGCTGTTGTTTTTAAGGTTTTCGAGTTTGCCGAACAATTCAACAAACAGAATCTTATGTTTCTGTGCTTTGTTGCATTTTTTACTGCATACGCCACTTCAACAGTTTCATGCTGTGAAGCGATCTATAAAAATTTATTAATAAATGAATATAAAGAAATAAAAGGCAGAGCAAAGGAAGATAAATCAATATATAAAGAATACAGGAATTTCTGGTGTTTGAAATTACATTTGTTCATCTCCCACAATCTGTTGGGCCAAAAGAGGCTCCCTACCCACATTTTAACTCGAAGGCCATCACCTACACTGCAATAATTATGAACTTAGGAAGCTGCTTTTTGCTAAGTCCATCTAGGTTGAATGGCAGTGGCTCTCTGGGATTTGAAACCCTTTCCAGTCCTACTTGGAGATGCCAGATACTGACATTTTGCACGTGAAGCATGCTGCTTTGCCATTGAGACACAGCCCCTTACCCAATTAAAGAAAAAAATATGTATAACTTCAAATATTCAGTTCTTGCTCAGCTATACGTTAAGCGGAAGCCTTAGGCCCCTCTTCCACTTTTTAAAACTTAAATTTGCTTTAAAGTTGTGACCTGAAGCAGACATGTGAGTGGTGTGCATGGTGAAGGCTGGGCTGAAGAACACCTTTTCTTTTCTGCA